TGGGGAAAGCCCTACCCCAAACCCAATTGCCGACAGCCACCCTGCTTCTTCCCCAAAGCATTTAAAGGATTTCTTTAAATGCTTTTGAGAAGAAGCAGGGTCCCCCATGGATGTGTGTACTCCAAGCCATGAATTTGTTGCTTGGAGTGCATGCATGCCCCCCCCGCTTCTTCCCCAAAGCATTTAAAGGGATCCTTTAAATGCTCTGGGGAAGAAGTTGGAGGCAGCACGCGTCTGTAATCCAGGCCATGAATTTGTGGCTTGGAGTGCACATGCATGCCCCTCTGCTTCTTCCTGAAAGTTTTTAAAGGGATCAATTAAATGCTTTGGAATTAATGGCTTGGAGCACAGGCGCCAGTCCCCAATGTGATGACATCACTTCTGTGTGACATCATCACTTTGGGGCTCTCTCTGCCCCATTGGAATGCCCTCCAATGTCCCCCACTGGGGACTTGGAAGGACCTGGCAACCCTAATACCATGCAAGTTCCATGACTTATCCCCGCCCAGCTGCTTGCCACTATTCAACTGTAGCTACCACAAAAAAGCCAGTGTGGTTTAGCAGCTAAAGTTTCAGTCTAGGATCTGGGGGACCTGGGTTCAAATCACCATTCTGCCATGGACTTTGGGATGGTCACATGCTTTCAGCCTAACCTACTTCACAGAGTTGTTGTTATTTTTTAAAGCTTTATTTATCAGTTTTATCCAGTATTACATATGGTAGATCATATGCATTTGAGTCTACATTTTCCAAGAGTTATTTATCCATTTATACACTCTTGCCCACCTAATTGTATGAATACATTCGTCTTTCCCTTGTAACATCAAATTTAGTTTGTCCATTTGTATCAGTTCAAACAGTTTTATCCTTATTTCCTCCCTTGTCGGGTTTTTTTCTAGTTTCCAAAACTTAGCCAACAATATCCTGGCAGTTGCCAATACATAGATCAACAGATAGACATCTTTTTGTACAAACTTATCCGGGATTATATTTAACAAAGCCATTTTGGGTGTTAAAAAAATATTTTGTTCCATTATTTCTGATATTATTTTTTATACCTTTAACCCATAGTTATGAACCTTGCTACAATGTCACCACAAGTGGAAAAACGTTCCCACATTTCCTTTGCATTTCCAGCAGTTATTGGAAACAGATTTATGACACTTAGCTAATCTATCTGGTGTCCAGTACCATCTATGAAACATTTTTAAAATATTTTCTTTATAATTTATAGAGCTCATATATCTGACTGTTTCCCACATTTTCAGCCATTTATCTATTTCTATAGAGTGGCCAATGTCTCTCATCCAGGAGTTCATGGTTATTTTAATTATTTCATCCTGCATATATTCTTCCAAAAGAAACCTATAAAGCTTCTGTATCATCTTGTCACTTGTCGATAGCCAGATCTTGTCTAGTTGGGTTTTAGCAATATAGAATCCCACAACTGCATTTTTGGCATATCTAGGCTGAAGTTGTAAGGTTTCCCACCAAGTAAATTTAATGTTAAGAGTATCCCAAAGTCTCTCCTTGAATTTCAGTTTATTATCCTTATCCAATAAACCTTAATGAGTTTCTCTGTCATGTTCAGTAGTAAGGGGAGGTTTTATAAATGCTTCTAAGAGGGATACCCATCTCGGAGTTTTTATATAATATTTATCTTTAATATCATTCCAAATCTTTATTAGGCCCCCCCTTATCACATGTTGCCTAAAATTAGAATGTACTTTATCCTTCCCGTACCACATATACGCATGCCAACCCATGCTTAAATCATGACCCTCTAGATTTAACAATCTTACATTTCCCAACATAATCCACTCTTTTATCCAATCTAGGGCAGCAGCCTGATAGTACAAATACCAATTAGAAAGACCAAATCCACCCCTTTCTTTCCTCTCTTGTAGGACTTTCCATTTTATTCTAGCTCTTTTAGGATACCAGATAGATTGCCTTGTTATTTTTTCAAGCTCTATATAGATATATTTTGCACCAGGAACAGGAACCTTGGAAGAACATTCATTTTTATAGTAGCTGTTCTACCCATCAGCGACAATTTTATATCTTTCCATCGTAACAGATCCTTCTTAAGTTCATTCACTAATTTATAGTAATTATTTTCTATTAATGAACTATTCCTGTTAGATATTATTATTCCCAAATATTTAACTGTTTTTACAATTGCCATCTCTGATATATCCTTTATCATCCTTGTCTGGTCATTTGAGCAATGTTTTGTTATGATTTTTGTCTTTTTTGTATTGATTCTTAAACCAGCAACCTTTCTATATTCATGTATTAAGTTAAGTAAATGTGGTAAAGATTCTGTTGGATTTTCTAATATAAAGACCAGATCGTCTGCAAAAGCCAGTAGTTTAAATTCCTCTCTTCGTGTCTTTAGACCATGTATCAGCACATTATTTCTTACTGCATCACTGAGCGATTCTAGAGCAAATATATAAAGTAATGGGGATAGTGGACAGCCCTGCCTTATCCCTTTTTGTATCTCAAGATTTGAGGAAAGATCTCTATTATAATTCTAGCATTTTGTGTCTTATTTACTGCAGAGACCATTGTCAAAAATTTCTGTCCACAGTCCCATATTGCTAATTTATGCAGTAAAAACTTCCAGGATAAATTATCAAAAGCCTTTTCAGCATCCAAAAACATTAAGGCCAGCTGTTTTTCTGGATGTGCTTCAAAGAACTCTAACACATTTGTGATTGTCTGTATATTATTTTTAATTTGTCGTTTGGGTAGAAATCCTGCTTGGTCTTGGTGTATTATTTTCATTAAGACTTTTTTCATTCTAGCCGCTAAAATGTTTGCAAATATTTTGTAGTCTACATTCAGTAAAGATATTGGTCTATAGTTCTTAATATCTCTTCCCTCCGTATCCGGTTTATGGATCAGCGTGATCAGTGCCTGATATCAAGAGCTGGGCTTATTCCCTGTATGACCTATTTTTTGAAGTAAATCTTTAAAAGGCAGACTAATCTGTTCTTCAAAAACTAGATATATTTCCGCCGGTAGACCTTCACAGAGTTGTTGTGAGGGCGATCTGGCTGTGACATCTGTCACCCCATTTATAGCTAGGGTTGATTCAGCTGATCTGGCTGCCTAGGCAGGTGTCCCCTACCTCCCTCACCACTCTATGTGCGTCCCTCCTGAAGCTACCTGCTCGGTTGAAGAGAACAACCATCCCAAATAGAAGGAGTGTACCGTTCTTCGGTCAAGGGTATACGATAGCTGCGCTCCCCTGCTAGAACCTCCAAATAAGCTCAAGGTCCATTTGTAGAAACTGAGACTGAACTGTTGTGAGGATAAAATGGAAGAGAGGAAAATGATGTAAATTGCTTTGGGTCCCCATTAGAAAAAAAGGTAAGGTCTATATGAAGTACATAAATAATAAATATAGCTGAAGATAGGGGCAGATAAAAGGTACGTAGAATTGGTTGGATGGGAAGGAAAGAAGACTGAAGGGAAAGGGGAAGCTATGGGGGCTGTCAGGATGAAATAGTGTGGAAGGGGGTGACAAGGAAAGTGAGGTACCCCCTGCAAGTCCTTGCAGGTTTTCCACTGTGCAACTGAGCCTGCCCCAGTAATTAGCACTGCATAAGTTGGACAGTGTTGTCCTGGGAAAAGGCCGCCAGGGGCAGGGAAGGAGGGAAAGCTGAAGGGGAGGGCACAATAAGGTAGGTTGGCTTGTGGGTGGGAAGGAGAAAAGGAAGCATGAAAAGGGGAGAATGTATGAGAGCTTTCAGGGAAGGGAATGAAAGAGGAAACAGTTGAAGAAGGAAAAATGATATCCCCTCCCCAAGTCCTTGAGGGTCCCCTGCTTTTACTACATTATTTCTAAACACCTTGGTTCAGTTTATATGAAGTTATTAACTCAGAGGAACCCTGGAAATCAGGATAGTAGAAACTGAATTACCCATAAGCATGATGGTGATATATGGACCAATGTCTTTTGTTTTTTAGAATAACATATTGAATTTTACATAAAATTAAGTAAAATTCAATATTATATACAAGACAAGAATGAATGGTCCAGGTTTTGAATGCATCCTTCACTTATTTGCACTCAGATATTTCTTTAGTTATGTGACTGGTTACTGTGATATATTTTTGAGTTACCCATACCCCTGAAACACCTTGTGCAAGTTTGAGGACCTAACTGAAAGCTGTTAGTGTAATGCAGCTGCTGAATTTCATACAAACAGTGAGAAAAATCCTCACTTCATTCATAGACAAATTGTATATTGCTTTATTGGTTTATTAAGAAGAAGAAGGAGAAGAAGAATTGGTTATACCCCACTGTTCCCTACCCAAAGGAGTCTCGGAGCAGCTTACAATCACCTTCCCTTCCTCTCCCCAGAACAGACAATCTATGAGGTAGGTGGGACTAAGAGAGTTCTGAGAGAACTGTGATTGACGCAAGGTTGGATGAAATAAAAAAGCAAATTGTGCCATAACTGCGCACTTACAAATAACTTGCAGCTGCCTTTTGTTTTCTTGTAGCTTCTATTTTCTTAAAGAGAATTCATATTTCCAGACTAAACGGAAACATTCACCATCATGTCACATCAATTCTAAAGAAAAAAAGGTTTCTTGGAAAGCTAATTCAAATCTAGATTTATCCAGGAGGAAAAACGAAACCAAACAGAACTACAGCCATGTGAACCAGAAGCAATAGAAAGACAAAGAAATTTGGGGCACCAACTTTGTTGTAGACTATTTCAGGTGGATGTGATGAAATTATCTATAAAACTCTAATTATAATAATTCAGCAAATGAAGGTGGAAAGCTTCAACTCTCGTTGAGCTGCTACAACATAGATACAAACTATTTTTAAAAACTGCAATAATGTTCCTTGAATTACTATGTGATAAGAGTAGAATTGTAAGCTGTCTGAAGAATGACAACATATCAAAACAATTTTCCATTTCCCCATGTATTAATTATATTAGTTGGTTTCTGTATTGCCATAAATTGCTTACCTTGTAAATCTAGAGAGACAACAGCTGTGTCATCTTCTAATCCTTCAATCACCTCACATTTGTATTTCCCATAATCCTCCAGCATTATATTATTGATTACAAGAGAGGCATCATTTTCTGTGCTTTTTCGCAGGAAGACTCTTCCCTGGTAATTTCCATAGCTCTTTTTGTGGTATCCCATTTCAACATAAACATCCACTTCTTTGAGGTAATCTGAGGTGAGTTTGGTCCACTTGACCCGAATTTTATGGGATCCTGAGTCAGATGATGCATGGTCACGGTAAAATTTACATGGCAGTGTGACATTGCCACCCCGTTGTGAGAAGAGTTTAGTTTGTTCTGCTTCCACAAAAAGGCGAGGTCCATTTTCTGATCATCAGGGAAGGAAAGAAACACTGATTAGTATAAAATATTCCAGGAAGATAGCTATATTAATGTGCTACAGCAAAAACAACCAATGAGTTTTTAGTTTCTTTTCCTTTTTGTTTTTACTGATTAAGTCAACTCAGAGAATCCAGTCGGTGCAGAATGTCACAGTTTACCTATTATCAGGAACTGGGTGGACCATGCCCTGACCTGGATAGCCCAGGCTAGCCTCATCTTGTCAGATCTCAGAAGCTAAGCAGGGTTGATCCTGGCTAGTATTTGGATGGGGGTCCACCAAGTAATATCAAGGTTGTGAGGTGGAGGCAGGCAATGGCAAACTATCACCAAATGTCTCTTGCCTTGATAACCCTATGGGGTTGCCATAAATCAGCTGTGACTTGATGGCAAAAAAAGCAACAAAGGTGGAGCATGCACATTACTCCCATTCTGCAGTCCCTCCATTGGCTGCCCAGCTACTAAAAACAGGTATTGGCTATTAAATATAAAGCCCTCTGTGGACCCAGAGCCTCATATTTGCAGGACCACTTCTCCCGCTAGGCTCTGCCATGACAGCTTCACTCATCTGAGCGGGGCCTTCTGCAGGTTCCACCCTACAAAAGAGCAAGACCAGCAACTGCCCATACATGTGTATTTATTGTAGTGGCTCCCACTTTATGGAATGGCCTGCCTAATTTTAGGAAGGCTTCCACTTCCTTGCATTCAGCAAACTGTGCAAAACTGAATTATTCAGGAGGGCATGTTTACAAAGGTAATAGGATTGTACTATAATTCAGAAAGATACTGACTCTGGTTGCAAAAACAGTAAAGACTATAAATAGATATATACACATATGTAATAGAACATGGGACTATGCTATTGTGTATAATATGTACTATCTGTTGCTGTGTGCACAATTCTACTATGTAATTTCTACATAAACTGCTGTAGATTTTCTGGGTTGTATAGCCGTGGTCGTGGCATTGTAGGACCTGACGTTTCGCCAGTAGCTGTGACTGGCATCCTCAGAGGTATAACACAGAAAGATAGAGTACTCTCTGTGTCAAGGTGAGAAGAAAAAGGGTAGGCAGGTAATTTATATCTACTCAGGAAGGTGGTGTAGGGCTGAGTCATTATCTTGTAGGAGTTCTATGAACATGCTAATGGAGTAGTCCGGAAAATCTACAGCAGCTAATGAACTTCGACCGTGAAAGCCTTTGACAATATATTAATTTCTGCATAGTTTAACATATCATTTAAAAACTTATGCTTAGTTTCAGCCCTGTTTCAGATTTCTGCTTGGTTTCAGTTTTCTGAAATCCTAATACCATTGCATGGCTTATTCAGTATCCCATCCCGTTGACTGTATTGATTTATACTGTGTAATATGCTTTGAGTCTTGAGTTCTTGAGTTCTTGAGTTCTCTTTCAAGTGATATAATCAAAGAATAATCGAAGACTTCAAATTATATTTAAATTAGTGAATTTCAGGAATTCAGAATGTTTTTACAATCAGATAGTATTCAGAAATTAACTAAATCAAAATCATATCCAAATATAGCAACAACAGGAGAGAGTAAATCAGCAGATATGTACTTGAGAGGTTTGCCATTCAAACAGAATGCATGCTTGTACTCCAAACTATTCCCTGACTGGAATTTTTGTGAACAGGTTTCTACCAATGACCATTCACTGGTTTGAGAATAGCTATCATTCTTCAGAAACTGGAGTGCTCTTTGCTAAGATCTATTCTAGCTGTTTGTTGTCAGCATGACTGGTTGTGCAGGCAAATGCTTTGCTTGTATTTCATGGGAGAAAGCAAGGGAACATAAACACAGATGTTTCAGCCTGATAAATTCCTTACCTCCTAAAGTCCTAACTATTGGAACTGGCGGAAATTGACCAAGAGAGAGATCTTGGAGTCATAGTACATAACTCACTGAAAATGTTGAAACGGTGTGCGACTGTGCAATTCTGGTCAGCACACCTCAGAAAGGATATTATAGCATTAGAAAAAGTACAGAAAAGGACAACTAGAATGATAAAAGGGTTGGAACGCTTTCCCTATGAAGAAGGATCCCTATGGGGATCGTTACCTTGGAGAAACGACAACTGACAGGTGACATGATAGAGGCTTATAAGAATATGCAAGGGATAGAGCAGGTTGAGAAAGAAGTACTTTTCTCCCTTTCTCACAGTACAAGAACTTGTGGGCACTCAAATTGCTGAGCAGTTGTCCTGGCAAGCTAGCCCCCCCCCAACCCTTATGACAGCATAGCTGACATTCTGCCCTCTCAAAAACCAGCTTCTCCCGTCCACTCCGGGAGGTCTCCCGGTCATTCTGGGCGATCTCCTGGTTTGTCCGGGAAGTTGCTATGGAACTTCCATAACAACCAAGGGGCCCGAATATCCCTGAATATCCCCTGCTTCCACTTTGGTCCCCACTCGAGGTGCTGGGGACCAAAGTCCAGCCATTCAACCAAATACAACAATTTTCCACGTTTAATCTTAGAGTCCAAAATTTTAGAGATCTCATAATGTTTCTCGCCCTCAATCGAGATAGGAGGGGGTACCGACTGCAACGGATGCCAGGGACTTGACCCAGAATCCCGTTTCAGGAGGCTGAAATGAAATACAGAATGAAGGTTTCTCAAGTTTTTAGGTAGATCCAAATCCATGGCCACATCATTGATCACCCTTTTCACCTTGAAGGGACCAAGATATTTCCAACCTAGCTTCCTGCTAGGTCTTAAGATCTTAATGTTTTTTGTAGACACATACACAGAGTCCCCAGGCTTCAGAGCCCATCCCTCCACCCTTCTCTTGTCAGTCTGAGTCTTGTATGCCTCCTTGGCCATATTGAAAGTCTTGCAAAGGAGCGGCCATGACTCCTTTAATCGTTGACACCATTGAGCTGCATCCCCCGGCCCCAAGTCATTGTTCCCCTCCAGGAAGGGGACAGGTGGGCTATCGTAGCCATACAAAGCCTTAAACGGGGACAGTCCGGTTGAGGAATGGCAAGTGTTGTTATAACAGAATTCAGCCAGGGGCAGCAGATCCACCCAATCGTCTTGTTGATAATTGGTGAAGCAATGGAGATATTGCTCCAAGGTTTGATTGACCCTCTCCATCTGGCCATCAGTCTCTGGGTGATAGGCACTGCTCAGGCCCGTTCCACCCCCATTAATTTCATCAGCTCCCCCCAAAACTGGGAAATGAATTGGGTCCCTCTGTCGGACACCACCTTGGCTGGGAGCATGTGCAGTCGGACCACGTGGAAAAGAAAAGCTTTGGCTAGTGCTTTTGCCGTAGGCAGAGAGGCAAACGGAATGAAGTGTGCCTGTTTGGAAAACAAATCCACTGCCACCCAAATGACAGTCATTGACTTGCTGGGTGGGAGATCCGTGATAAAGTCCATGGAAATCACCTCCCAGGGCCGGTTCGGAGTTGGATGAGGGTGCAATAACCCGGGGTTTTCCCCGGCCGGGGTTTACTCATGGCACAGATTTGGCAGGATTTGACAAACGACGATAAATCCTTCTGCATTTGCAGCCACCAGAATTGTCGCTGCAAGAGCTGAAGGGACTTAACAAAACCCGAGTGTCCCGACAATTTAAAGCCATGCATGGCATGCAACACCTCCCCTGCAGTGCTGGCTGGTCCCCCTGCAGTGTGATGACACTGATCCTGGGGCCACAAGCTCCCACTGCTGTGTTGAGGAGGGGATTGGCCCTAGGGCTCTTTCTCCCCAGCTGACATGGGGGCAGTCAGGAAGGGTAGGGCAGCCTGCTGCACTAATATGCTGGCTCACCCTCTTTCTATCCCACCCAACCCAGGTGCATCCCCTGTGGCACAGTCAGGGAGGGCGGGACAGCCCAGAGGCCACCCATGCTGCCCATCTCCTTGATATGTGGCTCACCCTCTTTATCCCTGGCTGACCCAGGTGCATCTTCTGTGATGTGGCCAGGGAAGGTGGGGGAGTCCAGGGTTGACCCCGGACATATATATTTGTTAATATTCTACATCAATTATTGTCCTGCAATCCTGAGATTATCTATATTTAAGTAATTTCATTTATTTTAGTGGTACTACAATGGAGTAAAACATTTTGTGATTTAATTTTGCTAAAGGTGTACATTGTTCAGATGCCCTGAAGGGTGTTCTGTTTTCTTGTCAACAGCCTAACATAAGCTGTGGAGTCCTGTGAGCAACAATTCTACCTTGTGAGCTACTGGCATTAAAGTTGTGAGTGAGCAATTTGGCTACTGCATAAATTAGTTTGCTCTGGAGCCATCCTTCCTAAGCTAAGACAAAAATCTGTGAGCTGGAGGCTAAAAAACTGTGAGCTAGCTCACACTAACTCAGCTTAGAGGGAACACTAGTGATAAGTCTTGCTGAAAAATCACAGTCAACCAACTAACATACTTACTTGACAGGGAGAAAACTTTGAATGTCAGTAGACCCTCTTAAAATGTCACTCTCACACACATACACACAAATTATTATTGGATATAACTTTCACTTGATTGTGAATGTAAGATGGCAACCTTTTTATTTTTGATAGAATACCTGGAAAAGAAAAGCATTCTTGAATTTGGCTAACTGCAATATACTTCCTTCCGTTCCAAACTTTCTGACTATCAACAGAACCAATTTTTGCCTAATAGCAGCTTTCAAGTCTAGTGACTCCTAGGGATGTCAACATTTTCAAGGGAATCAGCTAAGTCAATTGTTGTCTTTAAAAGTCTTGATAGTTCTATAGTTTCTCTGAGTCATAAGTATTTTATAACACACCCTTCTCATGGGAAATCCATGGAATGCCCAGAGCTGAAAATGGCAAACAGCTTTCTCAGTTATCCTTCTGGTATCTTTTCTCTCATATAATTTAAAAACATTTTGATTGGGTTGCAGATACAGCTGTGTTTTATCATTGCAGATACTGAGGACTACAGAACAATGAATCATAAAATATCCATACAATACAATAAAAATAGAACTTATTGCTG